CCCTAAGGTATAAAATTAGTTCCCTTCACGTTCCTGAAGAACTGGCAGAGAACCCAGCGGAGCTGACCAAACGAGCCGTGTCTCTGGTGGAGCTGGCGGCAGATTCCTGGATTGTGACTGGCCGCAGACCCGTCCCCATTATGATGGCAGCCGTCTATCTGTCCTGGCAGTCCCTGAGACCCACAAAGCTGCGGCTCAAAAGCACTCTGGACAAATTCTGTCAGATGGCCAAGGTGAGTAAGCAGACGCCTGCCATGAAGAGGATCGCTGAGATGAAGGCCATGCTGTGCAAGCTGGCCAACGAGATTCCGTGGCTCACTGGAGCGGTGACGGCGAGTAACGTGGTGGTCCACCTGGAGGACATCCTCAAGCACCGGTCCTTCTTACTCAGCCGAGCGTTGAGAGCCAACGAGGAGGCTCTGCTCAAGGATTCTCAAAAGATTTACGAAGAATTCCTAAGCGAGGACGTCGCCTCTTCACAAACCTGCGAACCGCAAACGTTAACTTCACCGTCTTTGGACGAGAGTGAAGCGAATGATAAAAGAGCTGCGGAGTCGAACTGGGGGAAGAGGTTACTCTTCGCTCCCCCTTGTGTGATGAACGCGAAGCGGAGGAGAACGCAGCGGCCGGAGGTCGAGGACGTGACTGGTGACGAAGAAATCTCCGACACTGAAATTGACTCTTACCTCCGCACTCCACAGGAAGTCAAAGACTTTGCTAGAACACAGAAGATGCTGTCTGACTCTGGAAGTAAAACCTCGTAGGAATGAATATGAATATACTACAGTACTACTACTACTGTACTGCAGTACTACTACTGCTACTGCACGGCTGATCTTCATTCTGTTATGATTTTTGTTAAAAGTACGTTATTTGTTTCTTTTTGTAAAACTGTGTTCTGAATGTGTTTGTTTCCTTTTAATAAAGTGAATCTGTTTGGTTTGTTGACAAAACCCAAAATATTTGGGGGGGGGTCGAGGAGGGAGGGTCCTGTTATGGTTCAATCTTAGATCCGTT